CACGGACGCAGGCCGGATCCGCTCTGCGACTGTAGTTCCCGCTCGCTGAAACCGCGCCCGGCCTGGATCCGTGTTACAGCACTGAAACGGATGTGACTGTAACGCGGATTTGCCGGTTTTAAAACGGATCCGGCGCAGAGTCAGCTGCTGTCTGGGTATTTGTTTGCTCCGCACATTTCACTGTTTATTCTTTGGTAAATCAGTCGCAGTTTTGGCGCAGGCTTTGCAAACAGACTTTTACTGTAAGATATGAACCTGACAGTAATACCATAACATGTAAGTAACTGTGTTAATTCTAATGCCTAATCTGCGATCAGTGATTTCTGATATTTAAAGGCAGAGTAAGTGATTTCTGGTAGCCAATGTTGATATTTGAAATCACCAAAACAAACACGCCCCTACAGCGTCAATAAATCCAACCAGTAATTTAACGGTCAACTACACATTGTTTCTCTTAGTAGCCTGAAAATAATCAGTTTTTTAAATTGTGATTAAATTATATACAGAAAGCGATCAAAGAAGGTCCCTTTATAATCGCTGGAGCTGTCATTCACACAGTGTGAGTTTATATTCAATGACATAGTCTACACGGCACAGTGAGTCTCTTATTTACATTGTGTTTGCACAGTTAGTTATGATGAAAGCATTTGTGAAAGTGCAAAACTTGAGTTGCAATGACGAGATAACTGCATTGCGCATAACAGTCTGTCATCGGCTACAATGCTCATCGTTGCAACCTTTCATGCAACGGGAGTTGATCTAAATATAATCAAAACTTTCCATGATTAGTTAATCTCAACAGCTGTAATAGTAAAAATGTAGTAAAGGTTTTTGAGAGAGCTCCACATTTAATGCTTATTTCATATGCAAAGATGTTTGCCAATCATAGCAATTCCACTGAAGTCTCACAGCAGACATGCCCCTTCAAAACGAGCATTCAAATCAGTGGGCTAAAATCAGGGTAGAAAATGTCCTTTTATTTCTAAATTATGACCATTTTTGATGTAAAAACCATACCAACATTGTAAGTGCATTTCAGGAAACATTATCAAATGCAAACAATTCAGTTCATGACCCCTTTAATCACCGTACACATGCATAATACATTAATAGACTATTAAATACTTGTGTTACTTGAAGTGTAGCGCTTAATCTTAAGCACTTAAAAGTTTGTAGTGGCATTAAAATTTATTAATTTTAATAAATTTCGCTGACTGAGCGCTTGAGAGTTTCGCTCTCCGTCAAGCGATCTGTACCATTTGGATGCGCTCAATGGATCATGTCATGTACTCAATGGATGCGCAGTATGTAGCACGCAGCGCACCTGTATTTGACGTACGGTAAACTAGTGTGAAGGCGCACGACTCGCCGTCGCTTTACTGATAGCGCTGTGCTTCTCAATAGTAGTAGCAGTAGTATCTTTTAATAATAATTACTAATACCTATGACCAACAATATCTTAAACACCAGTTAAAATGACAAATATGCATTCATTCATGGTTACCAAGTTTTAGTTCTAATCACTAATAATGGATATTATCCATTCAATCCCATTATGCACCGCAATAATTACTGTACAACTGGTGTACATGGCTAGAGAATACCTATAATGCACTGTGAGGACTGCGTTGAATGAATTCCTGCATCTTGTGAGAAGATGGCATTCGCAGAGGAATCATATTGGTGTAAGTTCAGATATTTTATTATTAAATCACCTTATATGAAATCACGGTCCATCCACAGACAAAAAAAAAAAACAGGCAGAAAGTCAGGTTACGCAACACTAACAATAGCATCACTCACCTCTCTCACAGGTTCGATCCCAGTATCCGGTACCGGTGCAGTCACAGATGAAGCGATTCCAGCCCTCTTTGCAGATGCCGTTGTTTTTGCAGGGGTTGCTGTCACACTGTTTGCCTGTTACTTTGCTGCAGGATGACTTGATTCCAACTCCATTCTGTGCCTCTGCGATCTGGCGAATGTCTTTACTGCGACCGTCTATGAAAAGATCACGGATGCAGCCCACATAGCCATAGTTCAACATAGCGGTCCACAGTTCGGTGGGAAGGACCAGGCCGACACGGTTGTCTGGGAGACCTCCGAGATATAGGTCACCCTCCAGGTCTAGAATCTCATTCTCTCCACTGGCAGTGAATGGAGTCCGACGGCTATTCACAGAGATGATACCTGTTCAAAACAACAACAGGCCGTCAAGAAGGACAAGATAAGCTCAGCCAAAAGAAGATAATAATGACATGCTCAAAAAATACACACAGAAATAAGTACTCAGTCATTATAAAAGTAGCCATTATAAAAAAATAATAATAATATTTGACCACAGAATGCTGCTAACCAATGATAATCAAGGTAAAACAGTGTAATAAATATAGAAATATACAGATATGCACATTTGTGTTTACATGTTTTTCTATTCCGGTGGGGACTTAAACCTGAATATACACCGACTCATGGGGACTTGTGTCACTGTGGGGACCTAAATTTAGGTCCCAATGGGGAAACAAGCTTATAAATCATACAGAATGTTTTTTTTTTTT